GTTCTACACTAGATGTCATACCTGCAACCCGACTAGGGGGTTACCTATTTAAACTCTCTGCGCCTATGTGAGTTACAATTTAATTTTTTATAATTTTTGTAAAATTTGATTTTTTTATTTATTTTTTAATTTGTAAGCTTTTATAAGTTTTAAAAAAATAATATTATAATTTATTACTATAGTGATATATTATTACTTCTGATTGACTAATTAGAATGCAAGATTAGATATAATATAAAATTGAAACAAAATATTATCTTTTCTAAAAAATTGTCTGTAATCTAAAAATTCTGCTATAAAACTATTTTTTATGCTTTAATAAAAAAATTTTATATATAATTTACTATCAAATCTCCTCTTATCATCTTCACAACTATCTTCATCTCATCCTAACCCTAATTTATAAAAAATCAATTGTTTTGATTTTACATTATATAGATTTTATAAATAGTGATATATTGTATATACAAAAATTATAAAATTCTTAAAAAAATATATATATTATAAGGTAGATATGCTTAATTTGATGCAGTTAATTTAGCCTATAGTAAGTTTTTATAAATTTGCTATAAAACTATGCAAGTTTTTAATCAAATATATCAGATTTACTCTAAAATAAGTTTTTTTTATTAAAAAAAATTTTTTTTTAGAAAAAAATGTGAAACGATACTCTAAATATGTATTTGTACAAAAATTAAGATTGTTAGCAGACTATCCCTAAATTGATGCACTATCGCAAATAAGTTAAATTTATTTTTTTTTTCTCAAGGCATTTTTCGTTTCTAATACACTGTTTCTCTGCTGCTAACCATTCCCTATCTTCCTTTGTTTGTCTTCATGCTTCTTGTTTGCGTATTTTCTTAGCCTCATATGCAATTTATTTTTAGATAGCTGCTTTTTTTTTGCGTTGCTTCTCATCGGCTACCTTTTTGGCCTCCTTTTCTGCTTCTCTCAACTCCTGTAAAGATTTTTCATTAATAAGTAGTTGAGAAAAGAGCATAGTTTTTCTTTTTTTTTTTGGTAGTTGAGAACCAGATTCCTCTTCTCCATTGTTTATATCTTCAGCCAGCTATGCGTTATGGTACAAAGAATACTTAAGAACAAGTCACAAAGAGATTGTACCAGGATTTTTGAAGGTTTCTAATTCTTCTTCCAGATTTTCAACCCTTTTATTTAACGATTCAATCTCTAACATTAATTCTTTTTTTGTAGGGTTTTTTTTATAAAATGTGCTTAATCTGGAATCAGCCTTAAAGATAAAAAAATGAAGACAAGGAACCTGAGGATGAGAAAAAGAAAGAGAATGAAGGCGATGATGAAGATGACCAAGCTAAAGAAGACAAAGCTAAAGAAGCTGAAAAAGACAAAACTGAAGAAGCTGAAGAAGACAAAACTGAAAAAGATGAAGAAGACAAAGCTGAAGAAGACAAAGATAGTGAGAATGATGATGGTGAGTACAACGAAGATGATAGCTCAAGTTTTTGTAAAAAATTGATTTGCTCTATTATTAATAAGGGCTCTAAATGGTCTGAACCAATAGCACTAGGATTAAACAGCCAAATCCTTGTAGCCCAGAAGGCATTGCATATTGTAGTAGGTGAGTATGTTGTAATATATAATGACTCTAGAACTTCAGCGAATGTATATTTTGTTACAAGTTTGCCATCATTATTAATTCAAAACTTATCACACTCTTTATTATAATTTTTTTTTAAAGTAGCAAATAGCAATTCGGCTGGTTGTAAATCATAAATAGTGTGCGAAGGAAGTATGTAAAGAAGAATGTTATTTTCACAACAAATATAGATGCTAATGTAATTGATATAGCTCTTATGGCCATCTAAAATTAACAAAACAGGGCATGCAGGTAGAATAGATCTAATGAAATATTCAATGTATTTTTGAAACAAACTCTTCTGTATATATTCAGTATCGGTGAATCCTATAACTAAGCCAGCAGGAGCACTATTTAGAAGGCCCGGGATCATTCATTTTCTTTTAAAAATAAATAAGGGTGAGATATATGTCTTGGCAGCTAAAATAGTTGGGCATACGAAATATGTTCATAAGAGCTGCCATATAAAACCCGATAAACTTGATGTGCTCCCTTCTTTGCTATGATCTTTTGGAGTTTAGGCTCAATAATGAAACCTATTTTATTTTAAAAAAAAAAAAAAAAAGCAAAGTAAAAAAAAAAAATAAAAAAAAAAAAAAATAAAAAAAATAAAAAATAAAAAAATAAATAAACCATATTTCAAATCTGATTGGTGGTAAGTGAATTTTCTTAAAAGATGCTTTGAAATTTGTCAAAATAGTCTTTGACAATAACGAGATTTGCTTTTTGGGCACATGCTTCATTTAGAGCTTGTAGAATATGGAATAAAAGCTTTGTGTGGTTGTTCATAAAACATTTTCACCACTTTTGCCCTGGACCATTTTCATTAAAAAGGCAGGGTCACCTATCCTGACAAATAATATCTATGATATACTGGTTTATACCAAACTTAGTCAACTGAGCTTCTGCATGTTTAGGCAATATTCAACAAGCTGTTCCTCTTCATGATTAGTTAAAATTTTAGCACGGTCTGGGTGAGCAAGAGGATCATTGTTATTAATAGCATGTCTAAGGATAGCTTCTAAAAAACCATAATCGCGTGCGATACTTCTGGTGCTTGGAACTTTAGGGTTATTTTGAGCATTTTGAATTGCCTTAAGGGTATTATTAATTGAATTGTGTCAGGTAGTGTAATTACTATATTTCGTTATAGTTTTTAAATTTAATAAACTAAGGTATTACACTTGTATTACTATACAGGTTTAAGTATTTATTGTTATTAGGTGAAGCTTTTTTTACTCGTGAAATTTATATTTAAGCAAGTTACATTTTAGGATTATTTATACAGCATTACACAAGCTCTCCCATAAATGTTTGTAACCGAAAATTCATTTTTCTTAATTGCGCACTTTTTTTTGATGTATGTCTTATGCCATTACGCGAATTGTTTTTATGCGTATTATGACTTATGCATGTGTAAATTAAAATAGAATAATATGAGATTTGATTATTATAGTTATTGTAACCGTGGGCTTTTGCTTTTACTCAAATTAAACTATTACGGCTGTTTGAATATGTTTAAGTATACTTGCGTTAAATTAAGAATACTTAAACTTATATTAATAAAAATTTATTGAAAACTAGTTAAAATTTAAAGTTATACAGAGCTTATCAGTAGGAATAATTTAAATAATACATGGCAGCCATTTTACTTAGTACGAGAATCCGATTTTAATCATTATTGTTCATCGGGAAATTTTATTATTAGATATATATTGATATATAACGTTATATCGATATATATCGTTAGAAAAATATCGATATATATCGATAAATGCGTTATTACTCGATATTTAACCAATATCGGTAAATATCGATTATTA